CACTGGGATGGCGGTTCCACAAGTTCTCCGAAGAGAGGGAAAACGGCACCTCGGAGCCTGCATTTGTACAAAGGGAGGGCAGGCGGGCACCACAAACAACATGAGTGCACACGCAAGACTTTCGACATCGTTTACACCTCCTTAAAAGACATGACTTTGCACCAACATGGAAGAATCTCAGGAATATTGTGGGTAGGATTTTATTATCTGCTAAGAAGACATGTGTTCAATTGGCAACATCTTCCTTGGGTGACAGTGGCTTCTTGCTGTATGTCAAACACAGGATGACACACGGAAGGTGAGGCCGAGAGAGGGAGGTAAACTTCCTGTATCCCATGCCAAGTCTCTGCCAAGTAACCAGTCGGCGGGAGATCACCAGGAAGCAACCCACTGTCCAAGCCACTGGAGAGAGCGCTCTCACTAATGCAAGGGTGAGGAAGCTCACGGCTGTGGGTCTGACATGTGACACCGGTACAGATCTGGAATCTGAGAGGGACCCGGGCTCCATGAGTGTCCCCCTGGTGCTTCTGTGGGAGACAGCAATGGTTTCCATACAACACTAACATGCGTGACCGGCCAGGTCTCCAGCTTACCTGCTGACATACAGGAAGTCTCACATTTACCTGGGGCTGTTTGTGCTGCTCCCTTACGGGGTCCAAACATACTGGACTATTTGCTTCTTCTTGTTACGTGCCACCCGTAGCAGGCCCATGTACAATACAGTGGACACTGACTGGTCCTGGGTCATCCTCACAACTGTCAGGCTTGAGCTGTCGTTAGAGCCACAGAGTCCATCCATCTCGGGGAGGGGCTTCCTCTTCCTGCTGACCCTCTTACCAAGTATGATGTCCTTCTCTAGGAACTGGTCCCGCCTGATAACACGTCCAATGTACGTGACACAAAGTGTTGCCATCGCTGCTTCTACTAAGCAGCATTTTGGCTGCACTATTTCTAAGACAGATTTGTCTGTTCTGGCAGTCCGTGGCGCTTTAAAAGATTCTTCACCAACATCATGATTCAAAAGCACCGCTGACTCTCCCGTCATGGTTTTTCACTGCCCAGCTTTCCCACACATATGAAGCAATTGAAACGCCTTGGATTAGGTCAGTGCACCTTAGACCTCAAAGTAACATCTTTGCTTTTTAACATCTTTTTGCAGGACATAATTTCATTTCTTGACTGCAAATCACAGGTTGTTAATGAATCCCCTTCTAATCCTGGGGTCCCATTTTCCTTCATATAGTCCTATTTCTCAGATTATTTGCTCAGCATACAGACTGAACAAGTAAGGTAAAAGGATACTACCCTAACACACACCTTTCTTGATTTTAAAACTGTTCTGTTCAAATGCCTGCCTCTTGGTCTACACACTGGCTCTGCCTAAGCACAACCAAGTGCCCTGGAATTCCCATTCTTTGCAATGTTATCCATCGTTTGCTATGACCCACACAGCTGAATGCCTTTGCACAGTCAATAAAACACAGGTAAATATTTTTCAACTAAGATCCACCTTACATCAGTATGAAATCCCTTGTTCTAAATCCAGCTTGAATTTCTGGCAGCTACCTAATGATGTATTGTTGCAACCATTTCTGAATGATCTTGATGTGACATTAATGACAGTCTCATAATTTCTGCATTTTGCTGGATCACCTTTTGTTAGAATGGGGATAAACACAGATCTCGTCTGGTTGGCTACCCAGGTATTCGTCTTCTAAATTCCTTGGCATAGATGAGTGAGAGCTTCCAGCACTCTATCTGTTTGCGGAAACATCTTAATTTAAGGTATTTTTATCAATTCCTGGAGCTGTGTTTTTTGCCAGGTGCTTCAATGCAGCTTGGATGTCTTCCTTTAATACCGAGTTCTTGATTACAGACATGTTGAAATGGTTGCATGCAAACCAGTTCGTTTTAGTACGTTGACTATACATTCCTTTCATTTTCTTTTGATGTTTCCTGCATTGTCCCAACATTTTGTCATAGAATCCGTCAGTAGTTGAATCTGAGGCTTGAGAGATGCTAAGCATGTGCTGCCCTTTTGGTATTCTACGCCCAGGACTTTGAACATTATATTTCATTATAATACTTTATACTTTGACCTTCAAAATCTTCTGTTCTACTCCTCATGTCTTGCATACATTTGTTGTGTTTGCTGTTGTTCAGTGCCGTCACGTCGGTTCTGACTCATAGCCACCCTGTAGGATTTCTGGGAGTCCTGGTGTGGCGTTGTGGGTTAATGTGCTGGACTGCAAAGTCGGTTTGAACCACGAAGTCAATGGTTCAAGCTCACCAGCTGCTCCTTGGAAACCCTGTTGAGGATCTCGATGGGTCAGAACCAACTCTAAGGTACTTAACAACAACCACGGATTTCCGAGAAGCAGCTGGTGGGTTTGAACCACTGTGCTATCCGGCAGCACCACATCAGGACTCCTCTGCTCACTTGAGCTCCTCTATGGTGGTGACTGGTGGTGTTTCTGAAGAGTGGCTGGCGGGTCTGAAGCACTGATTTTACAGTTCAAACCAGTGTAGCGATCTAACGCATTATCCACCAGGCTAATGCCCCACCAGGACCGTATATAATTTAAAGAGTCAACTGGTCTTCCTTGTGGTGGTTGTTGTTGTGTGCCATTGAGTCGGTTCTGATTCATAACGACCCTGTACAGTTTCTGGGGACCGGCTGGTAGGTTACCCTATAGCACCACCCAGGACTCCACATAGGTCGTCTTCGTAGGTGCCTGGGTATCATCCTGCCACCATCAGTGCTATGCTTCAGGAGTGAAAGTGAACCCTTTCAGCAATGACTGGGACCGTGGGACTGTCTGATGCACAATGGCCAACCAGTCCCCTGTAGCTCCCTAATGCCTAGGATACCTATCAGGCAGTCCACGTTCTGGTGTTCGTAGCGGTTAATTTTCACTTTAGAATCATGTCACACTAGCACACGACGGTCTCCGAAGCTGAACTCCATACCCCCACGAGGGCTGGCTCTATATAAAGAGGCACTCTTGCCCAGGCCGAGGTTGCGTGCCTTCCAACCTGCGGGGCTCACTGTCCAACGCAGACTGTTCGTGAGGTTTTCACTGGCTGATTGTTTTCAGAAGTTAACGGCCAGCCCCTTCTCCCTAATCCATCTTCATCTGGAGGCTCTGCTGAAACGTGTCCACCCTGGTGATCCTGTTGGGATTGAAATACCGGTGGCCCAGCATCCAGTATCCCAGCAATAGGAGAGCTACCACAGGTGGACAGACAGACAGATGGGCGGTGGGAACACAGACTTGGGCACAGTCTCTCTGCTGTCATTTATGGCAGGTTTCATTGTAAATGTGGGACCTCCACATTAGTGCAAGTCAAAACTCTCGGCAGTTTCAGCAACTCAGCCTTCAAAAGACCATAAATACAGCTGTCAAATGTTTCCAGGCATTACTTAGATTTCTCATGTGGTAACAACAAAACTTTTAAAACATACACTAGTATGTGAGGGCTGGCCCCAGGCCCCAGGCCCCAGGCACGGAGGGAGGGGCCTCTGGCTGTTCCTCTACATGTTCTTGTCATATGTGCTAGTCTGTATTATCAAATACTTCCCCGATTCTGACCGTCTTGAGTGAGAAGTGAGCCTGAGAGTAGAGACAAAAGATGACCCGAAGGAAGCTGTGTTGGGACCCAGCCACCGAGATGGATGAGCCGCCACCTCCAGGCTGAAGCGGGCCCTTCCTACCACTCGGGCCACTAGCATCGTTGGCGCCCTGCTGCCCACACCCTCTCCCACCCCCACAAAGCAGCTGTGTGCTAAACAAATGCTCTCAACTATGGGCTCATGTGAGGAGGGAGTGGCCAACGGCTGTTTTTTGGAGATACGGTGTTGGAACAAGCAGATGAAACCACGTCTTGCTTCTGATAGAAGTCTTCAGTGTCTACCCAGGTTAGCTGATTTCCACACCCCAACCAGAGCTGGGGATACTGTAGCTCTCTCCCCATGAGCTGGAAGGCACACGTTCAAATCCGCGTCTTTTGGAAAGCTATTGAGTCTTCCAGTGCCTCAGTGTCCCTCATTAGGAACAGGAGAACGAAGAGGCCAGAACGAACCTCAGACACCATTGTGCACAGCGAATATGCCAACTATGGGTACTGGGAACGAGCCTGCTTGGAGTAACCTCAACACGATGTCTTCCTGCTAACTGCTGATGCCTCAGAGCCCCCTGACCAAGCCTGGCTGGGGACTCGAAGCCCAGGGACCAGCACTGCCAGGACATTTCTCAGACAGCCCCACAGCTCGCTCATCGAATGGCAGGCAGTCACTCGGCTCTGAGTTTCTCCAGTACAGCCAGTTAGGCGGCCCAGTCAGCACAGAGAAGAGCGGGCTCTCCCACAAGAGGGGTACTACTTGTTGACCCTGAGCTGGGGCTCAGGCAGCTCGAGCTCACAGAGCGTCACTGGAGTCTGTTTTGTGACACACACACCTTATCTTCATGGTACCCCCCCCCATATGCCTGCTGAGATGAGGGAACACCAGGGCCCTACGTCCCCCCTCAGCTGACACCTGAGGGTCTAGGAGAAAGTGCCTCACAAAGCGAGGGCTAACTGTGTAAGAGGCAGAGTCTGACACCCCACACGAGCAGTGAGTGAGTGTGTCCCTGGCAGGAACATATACCCTGTAGTTGTTCTGCAGTGGTGTCAAGTTGGTCCAACCCTAGAGACCCTGTATAGGGTTTCCAAGGAGCAGCTGGTGAGCTTGAACTACCAACTTTGTGGTTCAAACCGACTTTGCAGTCCTGTGCATGAACCCACAGCGCCACACCAGAACTCCAACCTATAATATATCCTGGGGTGCTCAAAAACACAAAGTTCACATGAAGCCTTGATTACAAAGACACAACTGCTTATCATGAAGCTAAAGCGGAAGGTTGCCTCTCCTTATAGCCAAGATTATGTCTCAAAGAGGCCGCACTAACTGACCCACAACACCCCCAGCCAGGCTGACACACACAGGGCTGCAGGCCTACCTCCGCCCTGCATCATTTTGTAGATCTTGCTCTCGATGTGGAGCTGAGGGTGTTTGGTTTTGACACATTCAAGCTTGATGGCAACTTCCTCTCCTGCAGCAATGTCCGTACCTGGGGAGAAGACAGACAGTTAGGGGCAGCCCTGATGACCAGCTGTCCACCACACCAGAGATGAGAGCACGGATCAACTGTCCAACCAGCGAAGGTCACCAGTGAAGGGCTGTCCTCGCTCATGGGAGCAACCGGAGCTGGGGGAATGTGGCGTGTGCCTTCCCTGACCCTGCGTCTGTTTCTCCCCATCGTCCTTCCTCTAGAAGGGGGCACAGCCTCATACTCACAGTCAGCCACACACAGGCCCTGGAGCACGCCCACGTGGACACTTCTCTGAGTCCCTGGGGTGCTGCCTCCCTGTACCAGCTGCATGTGCCCAACTAGTACAGGCCTCTCCCTGCAGTATCATACATCACCCAAGGAACGCCAAGCTCACGGCCTCCTGTGTGTGTCCCCCTGGCTCCCTCTGCAGCCCAACCTACCCAGCCAACGGGCCTTGACTTCCCTTGCCACCGGGAACCAACTGGCTTTCACAGGGGGCTGTGCAGATGGTGGGTGAGGAGCAACAACAACAAAGTCCCCAGATCCCAGATGAAAGGCACTATGGGAGCAATGACCGATGAGGTGAACGCTAGGAAAATCTGCCAACCAGGACCAATCCTCAAATGTTCACGAACATCAAAAACCTTGATGAGAGGGTGCCCAGAGATGCAGCCTGCCTTCAGCAAGCCTGGCCAGGCCCTCATCAGAAGTGCTGGCTCTGTGACACCGAAAGGATAGACTTTCCCACTACAAAGGCTCGGCACCTCAAGACACAGGAGATAATAAACACCCTGTGCTCTTCTTGGCTGCAGCTGGCCAACCAAGCCAATCACCTGCAGCAATGGCATCAAATGCAAAAGGAATGCCAGAGGTGCTGTGGGGACCTGGCATGGGTGACGCATGGCCTCCCAGGAAAGAAGTGGCCAGCCCCTGGTCCTCAAGGACACGGTGGCCCCAGGGCCACCTCCTCCCAGAAGGCAAAGAGTACTACCTTCCTGTGGCCAAACAATCATTGGGCACTGGGGACCAGTGTGACAAGCCCCAGACATCAGAGCCTTTCGGGGTAAAGTCCAGAGCATGAGTGGGAGCGTGCCCCAGCTCCTTCATCAAGGGATGGCCTGGGGCACAGTAGGATGGCGAGAAGCAGTTCACTGAGGAAACGTCAGTCCTGATTCAGACCAGATCAAACCCTCACCAGGACGGACGAGCACCTACGTTTAGGCAGAGCTTAGCGGCAGTCCTGAGAAAACAAAACCCTTCCTTCCAAAGCGTTCAGGCCTGCAGAAGGGGAATTCTGTGCTAATCAGAGGTTGACTGTTCGAGTCCCCACTAGCAGTTGCAGGCAGAAAGGCCTGGTGGATCTCCTCTGATACACATGGGTCACCACGAGGCAGCTGGGTCTTGTGACTCAGAGGCCACCCCACCCTGAGATGGAAGAGGACTCTGGGTCCAAGGCCTGGCCTGCTCTTTCTCCTGAAGGACAGTCTTATCAGAGGCTGGGAGACTCCTCTCCTGGCAACAGCAGGGCCAAGGTCGCTGCGCGGAGAAACCTGTCATGGAGGTCGGGCCGAGCTCAGTCCAGGGAAGGCAGAGCCACAGAAGGTTATGACACTTTACAGCTCAGCTTTGACTCCCAAGGAGACCCAGGACCACTGGGAAGTCGGAATGCACCATTCATCTAGGTGACAAGTATAGTGACGGGCTAAAGTACACAGCAGATAGGACTAGAACCCACCCCCCAAGCACAGCCCTGCTGGCCCACAATGACAAGACTGCTCTCCTACTGGCCACATAACTCACACTGTGAGTTAATGCGCTGGACTGCAAAGTCGGTTTGATCTGCAAGGTTGGTGGTTCAAGCTCACCAGCAGCTGCGCCTTGGAAACTCTATACAGAGTCACTATGGGTCAGAATCAACTCAACAGCACTTAACAACAAAAACAACAACATACTGCCAAGCAAAGGGAAGGGACTTCTGCACCCCGCCCACCCACCCCCAGAAGGCACCACCTCCAGCAGCATGTGGGCCTAAGCATATGGTACCTAAGGCTGAGGGCAGGGCAGGGCAGGCCGGTAAAGTCCAGGTCTGTGGGGCCACAGGTGAGTCTCCCAGCTCCAGCGCACATACTTTTGGAAGCATCTCTACCTGGATGGATCTGGAAAGTCCAGAAGGCCAGGCTGCCAGGGCAGCACCTGGCCCTGAGGCCTGCTTCATACGCACAGCCAACCAGTCCCAGCATTCAGCCGACCCAGGGACGGACTCGCCTGCAGACGCCTTCAATCCCTTCAAGTCCCTCCCAGGGGGATCCCAAAGCTCAGAACTCTTCGCAAGCCAAGGTGAGCTCTAACTGGAGGAGGCCAGACTTTTCTAATTCCAGAGGAACAGCAGAAATGGTTTTCATCTTAATCATACTACCATCTGTGTATGACCAGCTTTTCAAGCTGAAGACCCACCTCGGTCACCTAATTGGCTACAAGCAAGGGACGCGATGTCAGGGATGATTCACTGCGTTGCAGTGTTGAGCTCCAACCCCACAACCTGACCACGCCTCACCCACAGGCCCACAGCCCCCATCTCAGGAGGCCTCAGGGGTGGGATGGTGCCTGTGTGTACCAAGCGCCCATCAGGGGCCCTGCACAAGGAAGACCCAAAGGAGCAAACAGAGGTCCCTCCCCAGAACGCTTCCAGCCCAAGAGAAGAGGCCACACCTGGGTGAGCGGCCCGCGAAACAATCTCACAACCCGATGGTCTGGACCCAAATTCTGAAAGGACAAAGCTATTGGGCAAAATCTCAGACAGAGGACAGAAAGTTTTACACACCCAAACCTCACTGCCACAAGCCCATTCTGCCTCCTGTGGTCTAACAGGACAGAGGAGAGCCTCCCAGTTTCCCAGACTGCTGGAAGTGAACGGCCACATCTTGCCCAGAAAGTGGCGGGTGAGGTCCAAGCGCTTCACCACTGTGCCACCAGGGCTCCTTCATCACAGGGTGGTCGTTGCCACTGCTTGCGTTCTAACTCACAGCGAGCCCGCAGGACAGAACAACTGCCCCCAGGGTTTCCCAGATGGTCAATCTTTATGGAAGGGGGCTGCCTCACCTTTCCCCCCCGCAGAGTTGCTGACCTTACAGTTAGCAGCTCAATGCTCAACCCACAGTGCCACCAGGCCTGAGGCCTGTGTAAAGCTGGCTCATGCGTTGCTTTTCAGTGTGCAGAGCTCCTACATCCAAGGGTGTGACTTTTGCCTGCATTTGCCCAGCACTATGCTCCCCAACAGGCCGAGGGCGCTCGCTCCGTGGACCGCTGGGGTATAAATATCCAAACGTTGTCTTAAGGGGCCAGCGACACACAAGTCCGGCCCTCAGGCCACCCAGACGTGTCACCCACAAGGTTCTGGTCCCTCCTCAGGACTGCCGCCCCCCATAGGCACACGAGCCAAATAGACCCACCCAAACGGGCTGCTCACCAGCAGACCCCGGAGTTAGCAACAGCTGCTCTGCACACCCACGACCAGGCCGAGCAGGTCCTCAAGTTCAGGGGCCTTGGAGTAACTTGGGCACCCGTTCCGACTCCGGGAAATGCCGAAAACCACGGTTATTTCTCAATTCCCAACGTGCAGACGGAAGCCGTTTCCGGGCGACCAGCCGTGCATGTCTGTGTGTCCGTTTCTTTTAAGCCCCATCGTTCCCTTGAGAACTCGGACAGTCCGAACGGCGGCTCCGGGGCAGAACCCGCTCAGCGCTCGCCAGCCAGACCTGTCCCCTAACTCGGTTGACCTGCGGGCCCCTCCCTCCGTCTAGGGGGCGGCGCTGCGGCCGGCCCGGGAAGGTCCCCACGTCTCCCCAGTACGCAGGGCGCCGTGGCCTTTGTTTACTCCTGGACCCGCACACGCCCGACCCCACTCGCCAATGCCGCAAGGGCAGCGGGGCCGACCCCCGGGCTGCGGGCGCTGCACCTGGCTCATCACCTGCGGCGACGGCGACAGCAACAGCGGGGCACACCTGGCGCTCGGGCCGGGGACCCCCGCGGCCCAGCTGTCCAGGCCCTGTCCACGCCGCCGGCCCGGCCGCACCGCTACTTCCGGTGTGGCCAGCTCGCGGCCGCAGGGGCAGGGGCCGAGACGCGATGGAGTCAGTCCCGGGCGGCCCCTCCCCGGGACCCCAGCTCCAGACCCCCGGCCGCCGTCTCGGGCTGTCTGGGGAGGGTCTTTAGGCGGGGCGTAGCTGGCGGACAGGGCACGAGTCCCCGGGGGTCTCCTCGAGGGGGTCTTCAGGGCCGGAGGCCCGACGCCGGATTGGGGAGGGTGGCCGGGCGGGGGAGGTGCGCCGGGGAGGGGTCGTGGGGGGCGCCTCACCGAGATAGATGTCTCCGAAGGAGCCGCTGCCGATCTTCCGGCCCAACCGGTACCTGTTCCCGACTCTCAGCTCCATGGTTGCGGCCCGGCTCGCTCCTGTCCTCCCGGCCGCTTCCTGGGTCTGAGCTCCGGGGAGGCGGCGCCGCTGCTGCCGCTACTGCGGGTCCGGCTGCCGGCTCCGCCCCCCTCACGGCCCCGCTTTCACCATCGCTTTCCGGCCGTCCCGCCGCTCCCAGCGTCTCAATACGGGGCGGATGGGACAGTCCGAGCGCCGCCGCCCCTGCTCCGGCCCCTGCCGGCTCCTCTCGCTCTCTCCCCGCCGTGGATGGACTCGGATCTTCCGGACCTAATTCCCCCTTCGGCTGCCTAAAGGAGCCGCCGCCATCACGCTGTGACGTAACTTCCCCTAGCAACCTGGAGGGGCGGGGCCGCGCCACTGTAGGGGCGGGGTCTGGGCGGGGCGAGGGTGACCTCGGGCATCTGATTTGGGTTTGGCTGAGGCCTTTGGGTATCCGAATAGGGCAGGGCTGGGGGCGTCGGGTACCTGGGTAATGCAAGGAACTTCAGGTGTAGGGGCGTTGGGCGGCTACGGGCATCTGATCAGGGTGAGACGGTGAACTTCGGGCTTTGGGACAGGGAGGAGTGGGGTGCTGCGGGGCGGGGCGAGCGCTCGGAGGCGTCCTCCTGACCCCGCCCACTCCCCCACCCACGTGCTTGTTTAGGGACGTCGTGTGCCCCGGGCATGTGTAGACACTTCGGGGTACCCTGGGACAGACCTGGAGGAGGCGCTGGCGGTGCTCCTTGCAGAGTGGCCGAAGCCTGATTTCCTCAGGCCCCCCCCCCGCCAGCCCAGGACAAATGCCCTTATTTATAGATCCCAAGCAAGACTCTGGAGGGGCAGGGTCCAGGTGACCAGGCCACCTGCCGGTCAGGTGGGATCAGGATGCATCGACTTCATGGCCCTGCCAGGACGCCCCCAGGAGCTGCTAGTTCCAGGGACTGGGGCTCATGAGGTAAGTACCTAACAATATCGAAGTCTCAGGAACCCAAATGCATATCAGGCAAAGGGAGGAGAGCGGGCCTTTCAGGACCCAGGCCAGGGACACAGGTTAGAGGGCCCCTCTGCGGGAAGGCCTCCAAAGGGCGGGTGGCTGCCTCGACAGCGCCGTATCCTGGGCACCGGGTGGACATCGTTCCCAAGGCTGTGTGAAATCTGGATGTTCCTCTTTGCAAACTGACACCGGATGCTGACGTTCAGGTCAGAGTGGCCTCCAAGCCCAAGCAGGGGTGACTCATGTGGATGCATCTCTAGAGGCCCCCTAGCTCGAAAGGAGCCATGGAATGGGTTAAGATTCTCTCCTGAACACCCAGGGGTCACAGAGGCAGAGGACAGGCTCAGAGGGTGTACTGTGTCCCTGCCACACAGCACCCTACCCATTGCACAGTCTCCTCTCTGCCCTTAGCAGTCGCCGAAATAAGTTAGACGTTAAATTGGGGAGATCAAAGATCTGTTTCTGAGCATTGGGAACCTGTGAGAGGGACAGAAATGGATACCCGGCCACCTGTGTCTTCCCCAAGGGACAGAGCCCAGGACACTGAGGAGAGGGGGCCTGTACCCCAGACTTGCACTTCGAAGAGAATACCACTAGATGCTGCTCCCCATATGGCTTCCCAAGGAAACAGAGGTCGAAAGTCTCCTTGATTTTGCTCCTGATAGAGCGTTGGTTCTGACTCACAGTGAGCCTACAGGGCAGAATGGAGCTACCGTATAGTTTCCAAGGCTGTAAATCTTGGAACAGGCTGCCACATGTTTCTCCCACGGAGTGGCTGGTGGGTTCAAACCGCTCACCTGGTTAGCAACCAAGCACTTCACTACTCCATAGCATCTCCTTTTTGCTTCTATTGCTGCTGCGTACTGTGAAGTCAGTTCCGAACTGTATGGAGTTCCTGAGGCTGTAAAGCTTTATAGCAGCAGAAAGCCTCAGCATCTTCCCACAGAGCAACTGGTGGATTCGAACTGCTGACCTGGTGGTTAGCAGTCCAACAGCTAACCCACTATGCTATCAGGGCTCCTTTGCCTTTGAGTCAGTTCTCATAGTGACCCTGTAATAAGGTTTCCAAGAGGTGGCTGGTGGGTTTGCGGACATTGCGGTTCAAACCAGCCTTCCCATCTAGCGCTTACCCTGCAGCACCACACCAGGGCTTCTGTTAGCATTGGTACATCCTAGAAACAAAGATTGTTACATTAGATTGTGGTGGGGTGAATTGTGTACCCCCCAAATTCCTGTTCACCTAGAACCTCAGAATGTGACCTTGTTTGGGCATGGACTTCATTAAGATGTTTTACTGGACTAGGTGGACCCTGAATCCATTGGCTGAGACAGACACCGAGAGAAGACAGCCATGTGAAGGTGGAGGCAGAGACTCGAGTGACACAGCCGGGGTCACCAGCATCTGAAAGAGACAGGGAGGACCTTTCCCCAGGGCCTTTAGAGGGAGCACAGCCCAGCTGACACCTGATGTCCACCTTGATTTTGGACATCTGGCCTCCAGAGAGACTCTGCCCAGTTGGTGATACTTTACCCAGGACACTCACAGAGATCATTATGCAGATGTGGAAACTGAGGCCCAGAGAGGAAGCACATTTAAAACTTCTACAGTTTTACTGGGAAGGTAAAGCACACCTTAGAATAATCAACCATTTGAGATCAAAAGGGTTGTATTTACCCAAGGACAAAGTTCAGAAGGACTAGGGAAGGAGGAGGCTTGGAAACAGGCCGCATAAGGAGGAAGTGGGGGGACTGCAATCAACGGCAGGAAACAAAATGTGTGTGAGTTCTGATCTGTTCTGTAAACCTTACCCGGTCCACAATAAAAACTAAACAAAATGTGTGTGAGTTCTTAAGTGAATAACTGATCTACTCTGTAAACTTTCACACGATTCACAAGAAAAAGTAAAATAAGAAAGAAAACACATACATGGAAAATCCTAGACATCAAACACTCCGTTTTTAGCAGAAGCCAATCTGGTAGCGTTGTTGTTGTTGTTATGTGCCGTGGAGTCGGTTCCGACTCATAGTGATCCTGTATAGGGTTTCCAAGGAGCAGCTGGTGGGTTTGAACTGCTGACCTTGTAGTTTGCAGTCAGTGCCGATCCACAGCACCAACCCAGGAATACAAAGGACTAATGTTGGTGTTCTTAGGTGCCATCGATTCGGTACTGACCCCTAGCGACCTTACGCACAGCAGAACGAAACACTGCCCGATCCTGGGCCAACCTCACTACTGTTGCCACGCTTGAGTCCATCAATGCTGCCACGTGACCACAAGAAACTCTGTCTTCAGGGCTCTGAGACAAGACCAGAATTAGTAGGTGCCCAGCTACCACCCCCCACCATTCTGAAAAAGATCACAATAGGAGGCCCTGGACAGAGTGCGGGGGGTGGGGTGGGGGTGGGAGGAGCGGGGGAGGGATGTAAAACAAACTCAAAATCATCAAGAAAAAAGACCAGACTCCCAGGTCTGTTAGAGACTATGGCCCTCAGACACCCTCAGTCCTGAAACTGAACTAACTCCCATGGTTCAACTTTCAGCTAAATGACAGACAAGCCTATACCATGCACAGTAACACCAGGAAGTAAGCACTCATTAGAAAAACATCAATCATAGGCGTTCCAAAGGGTAGCCTTTGCCCAGAGATCCAGCTCAGAAGACAGGAAGGGACAGGAAAGAAGGAAAACACAGGGAGGAAACGGGAAGACTGCTGTCCCATTGGGACTAGTCAAAGTCACAAAATGTGCACCAACTGTTGAATGGAAAATCAATTTTCTCTGTAAACGTTCACCTAAATCACAGTTTTCAAAGAATTTTTCTGAACTTTAAAAGAAAGAGAGACTGGGAGGAGAAGACGACGAGGCAACCAATATAGATGAGTATCTCTGACCAGAACACTTGGGCTGAGGTGATGTGCCCCCACCCCCACCCCCACACATGTTCCTTCTCAGTCGGCTGTTGCAGTCTCCTGTCCACTCTCTTCACCCCAGTCCTCCTTGCTTTCCTCGCCTGTGGTGCCGAGAGCATTGGGCAGTGGCGGTCAGAGCTGTAGCTGTGTACCTGGCTTACTCTTGGCTGTGGAGCCTGGAGGCGTGGATGGTGGGGCAGCAGGGCAATGCAGGAGCTCTGGGAAGATTCGGCCTTGAGGCTCTTCTCCCTCACTGCCAGCTGCACTGGCAGCCTGGGGTGGGGCCACACACACCTGAGCACTCCACTACCAGACCCAGTGCCAACTGACCAAGAAACTGGACAGTGTGGCCTAGGGGCCCAGGGCCCAGAGGGAAGAGGAGGATACAGAACAGCCAACTGGTGCCAATCTAGAACACACCCCGAAATGCAAACAGCACACGCTTCTGCAACAAAACCCATGACTTTTGGGGTGGTTTCTCCCCTCTGTACAGACGACATACACCGTTTGACCATTTAAAGTATAAATCCTGTGGCACTGATCACACAGTCGTGTGCAAATGCCAACCATTTCTTGTTTCCAAAACTTTTACATTACCCCAAACAGAAACTCTCTGTCCATTACGTCATCACTCCCTAGTCCCCACTCACCGGCCCTTGGCAGCCTCTAATTAACTTTGATCTTATTGCCTATTCTGGATCTTTCATACAAGTGGGATCATAAAATATTTGCCCTTTGTTGTTGTTAAGTGCCATCAAGTCTGTTCTGACTCATAGCGACCCTGGAGCGACCGGTAGTTTTGAACTGCTGACCTTAAGGTTTGCAGCCCGATTCGTAACCACTAGCTACCAGAGCTCCTTCAGTGTCTGAAAATTCACTGAGCATAATGCTTTCATAGTTGGTCCATGTCATAACATGACATGTTAGAACTTAATTCCTTTTTGTGACTGAAAATGATCCCATTGTATGGACAGACCACATTCTGTTTAGCCATCATCTGTTAATGGACAATTGGGTTGTTTCTACCTTCGGGCTTTGTGAATATTGGTGCCGAGAAATCTGTTTGAGCCCTTGCTTTCAATTCAATATACCCAACACCCATGACTTTTGAACTAAAATGCTTTTGGCAGACTACCTGAAGGAAAGAGCAGTCCAGCTCTCCAGATAGAAGGGACATCTTAAATTACAGGGTAAAAAGGCCAGAAAGGACCCTCACTGTGGGAAGCATGTAAGGACAAGTCTTAGACTGGGTTTTCTAGAGAAGCAAAACCAGTGAAACATACGTATGTATATTTAGAGAGAAATTTATTATCGAGGATAAAGCTTACAATTTCATGATCCCAGGTCTCCAGAGGAAGAGAGAGAGAGTCCCTCCCACATGTCCATTATATTGGGAGCAGGCCACGCCCCCAAGGAAGCAGCTCTTCAATTGATTGGCTACTCGTAGCCA